GAACAAATTTTATCTATCACTTTTCATGTTTTGAAACGACATCCCTATCCCATTCTTCACTTTCCTATTTTAAAACCATAGCTCATACACGCCTAACTGATGCATATGGACCTCCGAGACAAATACACAGTTTTTTTGGCGGGGAACGATTTCGGAAGCCAGAAAAGATAGAAAGCCGAAAATTTATAGGAATATTCTACACTCGTGTCTGGTGTTGGTTCACCTTGGAGGTGAAAACACTTGCAAATAGACATGACAAACATTTAATTTTATCGCAAATACAGAACCGATGCATTCTGCGGATTTCGTAATCCTCTTCTGACCTCCTTTGTATTTTTAAGTCTCCATTTGTTCGCTAACAAATACTCATCGAAAAAACAGTCGGGCATCGTGTAAAATCAATAATCATCCACGCTGGAAGTTTACGCTTTCCCATAGTGCAGTACTTTCGTTCCAGCTCGATGCTTTTTCCCCCGCATGCAAGAAAAGACTAAAGTACAGCAAGTATGAGTTCGCATGTTAAACCGCAGCGCAGAATTCTTAGCGCAAAAGCTCATGGTTGCACCGGCGAGCTTGGTGCGTTTCAGCCTGGGGTTTCACAGTTAAACTGCTTTTTTCTGCACCCACTGCAGCTTGCCGCACGCAGATTGATCTCGAATGTTCCTTATTGATGATATGCATTCTGGCCAAGCTTCCCGAGCATCAAATGATTTCGGTATGCAAGCATTAACGTGTTGTACTGGTGATAGACACTTTTTCGTCAGCTGGCAATTTGATTTTTCTACGCCAAGCAATTCATATTTAAAGTGATCTTCATATGTATTAAATTTATTTTCGCCTGAAAGAAATTTGGATGGTGCTCGAAGAATTCGGAGTAAACTGGAGTGGACTTTCTGAAATTGTAAATGGCAGACAAATAGCTTTGTTTTACTTAGTGCAAAATGAAATATCTCTGGCTGGCAAAAACTGTTTGAGTATGGCACACGCCACTGCCGACCCACGGTGCAGTCACATAAAGTGCAAATTCTGTTTGACAATTTTTGCACAAAATCTTCGCACTCGCACCATGAAAGTAAAAATGATACACTGAATCCAGATTTGATTCACATTTCTATTTTCTTAGCTATAAGCACTTGCCCGAAAAGCTGTAATTGCGCCAATAAGCTAGCTATTGTATAGGAGAACAAAGTGCAAGTTTTTCTGGTCTCGGCAGAATTGGGTTTAATTCGACTCATTTACCTTCCAAAAAGTTTGGTGTAAGTTAACATAATCAACTAATTCCTGTCCGGATAGTTTTTCCGCTTCTGGCGCTATCTTTGCATTACGGTAATTGTAAATTACGAATCTACAAAAAGAGCATTAAGTCTAGAAGAACAGTGATAGACAACAGACTACTCAGGCTGGAACGCCCCAGATGAGCGCGTGCGATCATGCGTTTTTGCATCATACTTGAAGGCAACATCAGCTTGCTCTTCCCTCTTCCAGTTTTCAGTTCGGTAATTACTGTCTCGCTTTGCTGACTACCGGAGAGAACGCCAACAGGTAACAACTAAATAATAGACGTTACCTCAGCTAATCTATGTTGCCCTCAAATGAAAACTCGAAATCTTAGAGAGGTTCTTGTTGACACATCATGCATCATGCTTTAATGCAATTCTCTTAAATGTACAGAATTGTTGTTTCACCTCCAGCTCGCTTAGTTTTGGCTATTTTTGCAAAAAAAAAGGTTTAGAAGCTATAATTTTTCGAAAAAGAGGTAAAGAATTAACAATCTCTTTTCATCAGTTTGAAAAGGGAAAGTACAATCGGCTTACAAACTATCATATGAACAGCGTTTTCCTTATCTGTGGAATAATGTACGCCCACTGTGACCTGATAAGCGAGACAAAAATGTATTTAATCGTTTCCTTCTCTTCAGTGTGACTTATCCTCAGGTAATGCAGCGAAAGGAATAGCAGATCGGTGTACCGGTGCAGCGGTTGATTCTTACACATTTGCACTGGGTTGCCCAGCTGCTGATTGCTCTCGTAGTTCCGCATCATTCAACAGTAACGGTTCCCGGAAATGACCAGCAACTAAGCAGAATCATTTAGTGCGCTTCACTCGAGAAGCAGTGAACTATAATGACTGTACACGCAGCTAGTTCTGTGAAATGCTTCAGTAGCAACTAATAGATTTTTTCTGTAGAAAAAGCACCTGACGTTGTAGCAAAATTGGTAAATTTCGGTTCATTTGCAGGCCAAATAACACTTTAAAGTGATGAAATCTTTTGAATCCGACTATATAATCATAGGACATTTTGAATCCCGTGAAGGTTTCTTTCGGGTAGGTTGCTAACTCGGGAACCTGAGAAGCTAGAAAACTGGGACTTTGAAGGGATGTTTTCTGACAGTCCTGGCGGCCAGTCTGAAATTCTTTTAGCTAGAAGCGTCTGCCGGAAGAATCAGTGCCGTTAGCAACAAGAATTTGCGGGAACTATGCAAAAAATGCGTCTTTGCACGGTCAGCCCTTGCGTTGGCCAATTATTTTAGATGGAAATCCTTTTGCTTGGCCTGGAACTAAACATTCAAGTATTATTAATTTTGGAAAATGAATCGCTTTTCACTTCCTTACTCAAATCGGGAAAACTACTTCTGACACAGCGAGGGGCTCAGCAGGAACTACACAGATGTCTACCAATGAACAGAGTTTCATTTAGAACTGTTTAAAACTGTTCTGACCGACTCAAGCCCAATCCCTCTCCAAATAAGTTTCTCGACTTGTATTCTTTCCTGCCTCCTCTTCTTCCATATCTATTCCTTCTTCCCTTAGATAAATTTCTGTTAAACAAAGCGAGCAACACAGCCTAACTGATCTGATTTTCTCCTAATAATTCCAAAAATATTCCTTAACCGCTTATTTTGACGAGAAGTGTTGCGTCATTACAAAAAATTTTGCACTAGCTTTTTCTGAATCATGCCTATAAGTCAAAAAGTCGAAAACCCTTCTTAATATTGTTCGATGACAAGGCTGCGAGGGTTGTTTACAAGTAAGCGGAATGCAGATTTGAGTTCCTGGTGTCTGGCAGCATCAATTTACCGCCGAAATGAAGAATTGCAGAAAAATACGTTGCTCCGTAAGAGTATAAGGGCATTTAAAAAAAAAAAATAAAAATAATCGCCTACACTTTCCAATACCCAGACGAACGAATCATTCTCATATTTGTTTTGAAATTAGTAAATATTTAAAAATACAGTGTGACTTATAAAATTTCCTGAAACGGAAATGTGGTTTTTCCCGTATCTTTTGTTTTGCTCCGTGCAAGCAGCTCCTCCAAATTATCCGAATTGTGAAGCAAAGCCGGGTTTGCAGGATTCGAATAGATAAAAAAGTACGTATTTCTTTGTTTTTTTTTAAAGAGACTAATTTAAAAAGACCTACAAAAAAGATCTATTTAAAAAAGACAAAATAAATTTAAACTGTAGACCTGGAACCTGGTGACTAAATTGCTGCATAAATCAAGCCTCTATGCCAAGGAATATTTTAAAGCCCCAAGGTTAGATGATTGCTCGGATCCAGAGCGAGTCATAGATATGTGATTGCAGAAGTTGCCACATTATGTTGTGTTAATTAATTTTTGTAGGGATATGTTTTTGGTTATTATTTTTTTTTTGGTATATTTTTTTGTTATTTACAGTTTTTTTTGCTTCGAGATGTTATTAATATGATTGTAATTTATTCGACAGAATCTTTTAATTGTTATTGTTTTTAGGATTTTTTCTTTTTTTGAATCTTTATATTTTGCTTTTCCGTATTATATTGCAAATTCAATTCTGATTACTTGCAACTGGCTCTTTAGTCTGTGACCATCATCGCTCTTCCAGATTTGGTCTGGAAGAGTCTGGAAGAGCGATGATGGTCACGGACTAAAGAGCCAGTAGTAAGTAATCAGAATTAAATTTGCAATATAGTAAGAATTTTTCTGTAGATTCGTGATTGACGATTACCGCAGTGCAAAGATAGCGCCGGAGGCGGAAAAACTTTCCGGACAGGAATTAGTTGATTATGTTAACTCGCATCAAACTTTGTGGAAGGTAGGTGAATTGATTTAAACCTAGTTCTCGGAAAAATTCGCACTTCGTTCTAATAAACAATATATCTTTTAAACAGACCACTGGTTGCGTGCACAAGGCTTGTCGCTACAATTACGTTTTTTCTGGCTATAATATGAATCAAATACGGATTAAATATTGTAATTTTTGCTTCCAATCCGTGCAAAAATTGTCATATGGAAACTATAGCTTATGTGGTTGCACC